TCCAAGCTATACACTATTTATGATATATTTTTATGACTATTCCTACAGCTTTTTGTTGAGTCACTCAAAATTTGTTGTTAACGCAATATGGATTGCATATAGTATGGGTTGACAAGGTGATCCAGTTGTGTCTGTAGGATTTATTTGCCTAAATGTCTGATTGCCAAATGCAGCTTTGGTTAAATGTAATTGGGTGCTTGGATGATAGTGTGGTTTCTATGCTTAGTATTAGACAGGCATTCTAGCAAAAGCATTTTGAGAAGTTTCAAAAGAAGAAAAAAAACAAACTTTTTTAATTAATTAGGATGCTCAAGGTCAGTCAATGGTATTGAATAATTATATTATAATGTTGGGAATTTAAGTTTGCATTTAGTGGTATAGTTTGGTCAATTGATCCACTGTTGTTTATTTTTAAGTACATAAGTATATTTATAACAGCAAGTATACTGCATTATATACCTTATTTTATTTGGGACAAATAATTACAAAGTAATTGCCAAAATCACACTGTCTCTAATCAACTCTAAAATCAACCTCGCTGAGGCTACACAATTCTTATATATATACAGCCTGTTTTTGGCAAAGAGCCAGGTTGGCAAATAGCCAACTGGCACCAGGCCAACTGGCATGAAGCCAACTGGCACTGGGCCAAATGGATAAATAATCAAATATACAATAAAAACATGGGTTCAAAGCAAGGGGAGATCTCCGACCACTCCAGGAAACCCACTAGATCAAAGTACTTATCTTTATTACAGTTGGTTTCCTAGAGGTGTGAAGTGACATGGATGGTCTTATGTAAAGTTACAATTAAATTGAATGATTAATCCCCAAGAGCAAATATGCATTCAGTGATAACCCTCTCCCTATTTCTGAGTCAGTTTTAACCCCCTCCCTTTCCTTGACCATCTATGTTACATTCTCCCCCTACTTTGTAATTATTTGTCCCAAATAAAATAAGGTATATAATGCAGTATACTTGCTGTTATAAATATACTTATGTACTTAAAAATAAACAACAGTGGATCAATTGACCAAACTATACCACTAAATGCAAAATTAAATTCCCAACATTATAATATAATTATTCAATACCATTGACTGACCTTGAGCATCCTAATTGCATTTGGCAATCAGACATTTAGGCAAATAAATCCTACAGACACAACTGGATCACCTTGTCAACCCATACTATATGCAATCCATATTGCGTTAACAACAAATTTTGAGTGACTCAACAAAAAGCTGTAGGAATAGTCATAAAAATATATCATAAATAGTGTATAGCTTGGAAATAGTCAAAATGCTTCTATCAGTCAAACCTATGACTGCTTACACTGTTCTAACCCATATCAATTTAAAGGCTCTCAAAACTTTTAAACATAAATACCAAGGCTCTATTGACCATATTCATAAAAACTACTGGCTTTTCCAGCCGTCACACATAAATCGAAGGATCCCTTGACCCTAATAGTAATACACTTAAAAGCAACAGGCTCTCTTGGCCTTATCTACTTAAACTACAGGCTCTCTTGGCCTTATCTACTAAAAACAAAGGCTCTCTTGGCCTCATATACTCTAGGCTCTCTTGGCCTCATATACTCAAGGGTCACTTAGCCTATATTCATAATATCATCATAGTTTACAAACAGCCTTTACATTACATGGAAAGAATAATGAATCTTTGTCTTTCAATATCACTACATTCAAGATTGCAACAAGAAGCCACTTGACAGAACTTTAACCAAGCTATACTTATCTAAAATATGAGATAAAGGTAAAAAGACACAGTCTCTTCCAACAAGTCCAAAATTCATCCTCATGTGACACATCAATGATTATAATTTGTAGGAAAAATGACATCACCTCCAGCATTTTTGCCAAAACATAACACTCCATAGATGTCTCCTTTTATAACAGCCTTGCAGTATTCCTCCATAATGTGCTTAAACTTGTCTATTATAATCCAATGATCCGTGATTCGAATATTTTAATCATAATTCCTGATGGAAGTGACATTTGTTGACACATTTGTTGAACAGTTATCCATTCCAACAATATTTAAACAAAATAAATATGACCCATTTATCCCTATTCTGGCTGGGTACTATCCAAATGATCTTGATTTAATCCAAATCTCACAGCAAATATAAATCCAGCATCAAATCATACAATATTTTGTACCATCATACTATATAATACATATTCATATTTTGTTGTCCTAATGTTGACTGGGTACCATCCACAGAAACTTGAGATGATCCAACTATTCACTGTAAGTTAAATAAATAAATCCAAATTCTCTTCTACTTGAACACGTGTAGATCAGGTGATGATTAAGTCCTGAGGTACAACAAATTATCAAGGAAAATGTAATGAAATGTATGATCCGCATAGATGAAAGGGTTTGAGCATCCAGTATAAGTCAGGGGATAATACACTTACAGCAAAGCCACAAATAAATATAAATATTAATTTAAATTGTAATGTTTGACTACTTGAGTGATTAAAAGTGACGGTCATAAACAGCAATAGATTGAACATCCATATTTGCTTTGGTATGGCCATAAAACAATCTAGTCCTTAAAGGTGCTATCAATTGCTAATCATATCACTTGTGTTAGCCCATAACTTTCCAGTTTATGACCTAATTGTTTATCAAATATCTGGGGTAAAAGTCATAAAAATGTTCTGAAATCAAACTGATGATTGAGATGTATGAAACACTGTTTGATTAGTACTAATTATCCTTTGTTCCGTATCACTTTATCCACACTTAACATATCACATAATAAACAGTTTATGGCTGATAGAAACCACACGATGTATCATTTTACGATTTGTGTCAAAGTCAAGCAGATACTTGATATCCAATATGTACAGTTTGATAGTAGTCATAATTATCCTCTATATTCTATTCTGTGTTTCCTGTCACAAATGACAATTTATGACACATTATTGAACAGTTATCCATTTCAACAATATTAAAACACTATAATTAATGGCCTCTTCGTCTTAATACCATCCAAATACACTCAGTAGATCCAAATAACAAAAACCACAAAATCTCTGCAATAGTAATATTGACGTTATCCTTCTACACACATTGTCACATAATGAAAAATCTCTAACAACAACAACAAGGTCCAATGTTCAGCCCATGGCGAATCATAACTAAAAATTAGAAGTAGCCTCAGAAGTTACAAAAGTCATACATTGTCAGTTCAAATATAATCCAATATCTACAGTCCAATCGTTTCAACATGCATCCAACATCCGTTTTTCTCACATCCATTGTTGGGTTCTTTGTTTTTCGCATTATGCCACCCTCTGGCCATACGGGACTCCAGGGTCTCTACTGGTGAAGACCAACACTCATAGGTTATGGGAATAACATCTCCCATATAGTTTGCTCCCTTTTTAAGTTTTAGTCTTGTGACATGGTTGGTAGTGGACCAAGCTTTGTGAACAAGCCGTTTTACATGCTTATTCTTGCTTAGCTGGGCCGAAGGCTTGTTGCGTTTTTCCTTGTAGACTCGTAGACGTGGTTTGTTAACTCTTACTCGATTCTTCACTTCAAACGACTTCAGTGTTTTCTTTGCCATTATGGCTAATCCCCTCTGTGTTGCATATAATGTGTCCACAGGGGTAGTTTGCACTTGTGCCTGCATTACATGGTTTTCTTCTGATATTACATCATATTTCTCTGTGTCACTGTTTTCCAACAGAACCACCCCTGCCTTCTCTGTGTCGGACCTTTCTACTGTAGAGTTGTCGGAGTCTGCATTTATTGCATTGTGAGTTTCCAGCAAGTTTTGAGAGGGGCTCACATTCAATGTCTCATCTTCACTGCTCATCTTGGCATCATGGCGAGTAAAAGCAGATTCAAATTTAGGTGAGGATGGAACGGCTTTACCCCCTGCATTACCACTGTTATTTTGTAAAGTGGCATTCAGTTCTATTCTGAGTCTACGTACTTCTTGGTCATACTCCTTTATCTCCATACCAATTTGTTTGCTCTTCTGGAAATGCTCATTACACTTTCTTATTTTCTGATTGTTCATCTTCAGCCTGTTGATTTCCTCGGCCATACTGTTATACCTAATCCTCTGCTGTTTAGGAAATTCGTACAATTCTTCAAATAGGTCATTTGCTTCCTTCAATTCTTTGGTTTCATTTTCAGTTAATACTTTTATTTTAGTTCCTAATTCGGTAATCCTAGTATTGATAACCGAGTCCTCCATTTCTTGAGTTGTGTTCACTTTCTAACAGAAGGCTCCCAGATTCGTTTTTAAGAAAATATATCTATAAAATCCTGGCAACGGCACCAATGTAACAAATTATTGTCATAAAATATAATGTTGTGGCTCGTGTCGTCTAGTGGCAGTAACATAAAATGTTAGTTTGATTTCTATTTCTTTTATTGTTCATTGATTAATATAACTTTACATGTCCTAAGTAATTTCCTGGTTGTAACCGACTGATTATACTCTAAAACTCAACAACTGAATCTTACTCTGCAAAATCACACTGTCTCTAATCAACTCTAAAATCAACCTCGCTGAGGCTACACAATTCTTATATATATACAGCCTGTTTTTGGCAAAGAGCCAGGTTGGCAAATAGCCAACTGGCACCAGGCCAACTGGCATGAAGCCAACTGGCACTGGGCCAAATGGATAAATAATCAAATATACAATAAAAACATGGGTTCAAAGCAAGGGGAGATCTCCGACCACTCCAGGAAACCCACTAGATCAAAGTACTTATCTTTATTACAGTTGGTTTCCTAGAGGTGTGAAGTGACATGGATGGTCTTATGTAAAGTTACAATTAAATTGAATGATTAATCCCCAAGAGCAAATATGCATTCAGTGATAACCCTCTCCCTATTTCTGAGTCAGTTTTAACCCCCTCCCTTTCCTTGACCATCTATGTTACAATATATTCAAGCATGATACATAAAGCTTATATAATCGTTACGGAAGTAATATGCATATCATTGCATATATGTAATGTGTAGGCTATGTTATCCCACTGTTCATTTTTCTGGGAAATCACATACAATTTTCAAAAATAAGTCCAACAATTTGTGAATTAAGGGCATGGCACATTGACAGCATGGTCACAGGCTTTCTTGTCATTGTTGAAACGTGTCCCAGCGCCACACGGCAAAGACAGGTATGTTCCATGTAGGCACATCAAGTACTTGGAACAATCAGCTGGATCTCGGTACATGTCGCCCGCCTTACATGGGCCGCCTGAAAATAAAATACAAAGGATAGGTATCGATATGGTGAACTTTTTGAACACAGTTTCTCTTAAACCAGTCATAATTCTGAAGATTTTACACAACGTCAATTTGTTAGTCAACATTTGTATGGTTACAATATAATTTGAAAATATAATTTTTTTTCTTCTATATTGTTTTAGAAAACACATCAGATACTTCTTTTGTTGTTGGAATCATATGTTCGGAACGAAGTGAAACATCTATCCGAACCTCATTGGAACAAAATGATATGAACACAACGTGTTCAGGTTTCTCAATATTGGAATTGTACAAAGGAAAGTTTGGTTGATTTAAAAAAAGTACCCTTTTAATGAAATAAAAGGTTTATCTTAATTTTTATCTATTTTGGGAGTTATGTTTTTTTGAATGCTTTTTGTTAAATCAACCAAACCTTCCTTTGTATAACCATAATATTAAGAAATCTAAGAAAATGTTGTTTATGCTATTATGTTCGAACAAAGTTCTGAAAGATATGTTATTTCATTCTCAAAAAATGGCCGTAAAAAGGAACAAAAAGCAATTGCACTAAAAAACAAACAACATATTAACAAAAACAGTTATATAAAATATATAAATAATTTTCGCACGAAATCTTTTTCAATCAGTCAACATTATGTAACGGTTGCTTGATAAGGCTTTTCATGTTTTTAACTTCCAAACAATGCTAACGTCGTGAAAATAGAACAGCATCATAGAAACCTGTTATTGAAACAATGTATAGATTTTAGGTCGATATTTGTTGCTAAAAACCAGTACACGTTAATAAGTCATATGACGATATTTGAAATAAAGAGTTCTGATTGGTTAAACCGGTTGTGGTACAGCTGAACTTTATATGTGAGTTGTACAAGGATATCGTCAGTTGACCAGAGGGCAGGATACGATGAGGACGGTGTGATTGTGGCTTCTTGTTTGATGTTTGGATTTTGGACCATGCTTTGTTGAGTATTGGCTATTGGTACTAGGTTTGATATACGGAAGTACATTAGGTATAGTACAACGAGGTACGCCTTTGTCTTTATCACTAGTAGTAGTTTGGGATCAAATACTTGATGTTAGTTGTATTACGATAACGGAAGTTAGGGCGTGGCATGGCCCTCTGGCGCTCCGGGGTTGGATCTCGTTATTAGCATTTCCATTTTATCTCTTATTGTTTGTGGCTTGTTTTATATTACTGTATGCATGTATTGTTATATGTTGTAAATAAATATTTGATGTTGTAAACCGTGTTGATTTTATCCGATTGTTATCCTTGTAAATACCCTCTGTCCTTTGTTCTTTTTGCTCAGCTATATTTTCAGTACCATCAATATCCCCTACAAGGTCGCATTACATTGGTGGCAGCGAAACTGACCTACAGCAATTGACAACAGCTGTGAACCGGCGTCTCCAGCCTGGTGAAAGGGGAGAAGGTATTGCTAGCAAAAGGTACGGTACTTTGGTAAGAAGGGTAAAGGATAATTTAAAATCACACGTATACATTGTCAATTTAATATTTTATCTAGGTATTTTATCTCGAAGGCTCAAATTTATCGCATGCATACACAGTCACATTTGAAAACAAATTTTTGCAAGGCAATTGATGCCTCAGGCTCATTTTCAATATTCAAAGTGATTAGTACTGAAGTGACGTAACTAAATGTTTTTGGTGTATAAAGTCATAGGGAACTCAATCAGCCTTTACTTTACTCACACTCGCAATTTGTCAAAATTTTGATCTCAGGATAATTGCAACGCTACTCAGGATCAGGCGTTTGCACACCAGACTGTCGATATTGTTACGTTACTCAGGATTAGACGTATACATTCCAGTCATGCAACGATAGTTCACATTTTGACATTATTGCTTGAGTTTGTATAACAAGGCATCGGGAAAGAAAGTTTTATCTAAACATCGAAAGTTAACGGTTACCTTACCTATATGTACTGACTTAGCAATAACATGCTTCATTGAAAGCGTTCAGAAAACTCAACAGCTTTGAATTTTATTGAGCTTTTCTACAACATATTAGAAAATTCGAATGTGACAAATGTATTTAAAGCGATGATTGTATGATACAAGCCTGGGGGAACTGCAAATTCAACCACAAAATTCATCTTGAATTTGACGTATCAATACAGTTGAACTAGACTGATTGCCGTATTTAAAAAAAAAACATATCGTTTCTTTGTCACATTGTTTGTTGACTGAAACATTGTGCTGACAATATTGTAGATTTCGTATTTTACATGCAACAGGTTCACATCTCGCCTTACATGCAACTGAGTTCATAGTTCGTTTAACAGGCAATTGCATTTATATCCGATTTTGTTATATTGCAACTGTGTTTATGACTTAGTGTATTACACCTGAATGATAAATATTGGTAGTAGATTGGAGGCATTACTACGTACGCCCCACAGGATCACTCAACGAGATAAGATATTAATTTCATTGTCACATGACCTCGCATATAATTTGTGCCACTTGATTTGACATAAATTTCATTGTCATATACAGTAATCAGTGGTAGGGTATGCAAATGCAAATTGGATTGTGAATGATGTCGCTTTAGGAAGTTATAAATCTACTGGTATACGTAAGATCCTGTCTGAAATAACTCTCACCAGTATGGAACTGTATCGCATGTGTAACATAATGTACTGTATTTAGGAGTTTGTACGTAAATTGATTTGGTACAGTAATAAATGCTTGTATACAACCTATAGTTAGATATCGTACCAGTGTTGGAAATACCTTTGTCGATAGTGGAATTTTATTCTCACCAGTGTGTGAAGATTGCAAATCATTGTTGGAATTTGGCGTCATAAAGACCCAGTTCTTGTGAACATCACATATGATTGTTTGTTTATTGTAATGCAATCAGTCTTGCCAATCTCACGCCACCAGTGCGTAGCGTTGGGAATATGTGGTTTTATGTCTGAACTTTTCAATTTGGATAATATTGTCGTTTATTTTCACCAAATTCAGACTAACAACACGACTACGTTGTAATCTCGACGCTAACTTCGCATGGAATAGTTAACACCAGTGTGTAGGATAAACACAGGAATTGAAATAGCAACATCATTAGTGTGTATTATTTTTTTAGACGCACCCAGTAATCAAGCATTGGGACACATATGAATGAATATTGAACTATTCCTATTGGTAATTGTATAGGTTGATAAAACGTTTGGTGGAAAGATACCTACTGGAGATATACTTAGTAGGAAAAGTTGTTTTTCACTAGTGTGGATCATGGGAAAATTGACACAAGTGATTTGACAAACTAGATTGTGAACGGGAAACTTTTATATACAAAATAGAAAGTTCATCCTATAAACTGCGATATAATTTTTATGTTGTATAGTACACTTGGATAGCAACAGTGGCGTAGCGTGGCAATTTTACTAGGGGACGCAAAATTCCAAAATTGGGATGGGGGGGGGGGTTCACGAAATTATGAGAGTATAATTTGAAAGAATCATTAATGACATGTCGGGACTAAAATAAACACCTAGTTTCTATGGTTGAACCCTGTTCAAAGATACGAAATGATAAGGTTGAACAATGGCTTTGCTTATTAAAACTTGAGAAATTTAGAATTTCCAAATATTCAGATAAACATTGGATTGTTCCAGTGGACGCATTTGCGTACTTTGCGTAAACGACGCTACGCCACTGGCAATACTGAATGTTGTACATAGTACGAGTAACCGCTTGTGAGAACATATACAGTGTAAATATGATTTTTTGGTGATTTTTGATTTTAATCACCCAGATTTGTACATCGAAACTACATTCGCAAGTCCTGGCAATGGAGAGTAGTATCATATTGACATGATTTGATTCATGACTCTGCTACAGGCGGACCCAATTTTTAGATAAAACTTGAAAAACATAAAAACATGCGTTTGTTTTAAACTTGATTTTAACATTGATGTCGTATGGTTTGAATTGAATTGAATTTGTTACATGCACATACACGGGTATATACATGAGGAATAGATTCCGTTTGTTAATTTTTGACAAAAATGGAAACTTTAGATTGATGGTAGGAAATTTGGATTAGATAAGATGTCATTAAAGGATTTGATGTGAAGATGACATATGAGAATTTGGATATTATGATTTTGAGATGCCTACATGGATGGCTTTGGCAAATGGAATTGCATATATTGCATATACAGTACCACTTTGAAGTATAGTTCAAGTTGTGTCACGCAGAAGCACTTGAGTAAGAAGTTAGATAGTTTTGGCCGCGAATCTATGATCATGCAAATTACTACTTGCCCGAATATGATTACCATAGATTGCTGGAACTCTCGTAATGCTTCACCGAATTTCTCTTTTGTTATGCCTTTAGTGCAAAACTTGTCTGTATGGATATATGGTAGTCTTTACTGCGAAAGTGCAACTTGATTATCGGTTACATGCACAAATTATGATTGAAAAAGCAAGTATATTTAAGAAGTTGAATTTACAGTGGTGGTGGATACAATGATGGAAATTCAAATGAATGCATATGGGCTTGGTTACCCCGTGTATGAATGAATTAAGAGTAAATGTGAAGAGTGCATGTGAAAACCTATTGTTTGTAAATGGAACTGTTCATCTTTGTTTTCTTCAGCTGGAAAGAGTAGGGATGTGATCTTGGATTCAGGTTGCAAACTGAAAACATGTCATCTTGAACAAAATTGTTCAGGCATTGCTGCTTTGTTATATGGCTTAGTGGTTGAGCACGTTATATTGTGCTATGGGGAGGTGTCATGCATTACAGTAAATTGGGATATAGAGTTCTGAATGCCAGCAAGATTCTCGCAAGGAGACTGGTAACTTAAAATGGAGTTTCACTTAGCATAACAAAGATAAAATGTAACAGACTTATACATAGCGAATTGAAGTGTGAACAGTAACACTGGATATTTTGAATGACATTTGGAGTCACAGGAAATGATAGTGACAAATTAGAATATACAGACATTATTGAAAAAGAATAAAGATTGAGATGACTTTGGATTATATGACACGTATATTTTAATATTACTTGATTGTGTGTTGATTAACGCAACCGTTATATTTTATATTATGATTTATATTTTTGGCGAGGACGCCACCTTCTCAGAAGGAGGGGAGTTGTGTAACGGTTGCTTGATAAGGCTTTTCATGTTTTTAACTTCCAAACAATGCTAACGTCGTGAAAATAGAACAGCATCATAGAAACCTGTTATTGAAACAAGGTATAGATTTTAGGTCGATATTTGTTGCTAAAAACCAGTACACGTTAATAAGTCATATGACGATATTTGAAATAAAGAGTTCTGATTGGTTAAACCGGTTGTGGTACAGCTGAACTTTATATGTGAGTTGTACAAGGATATCGTCAGTTGACCAGAGGGCAGGATACGATGAGGACGGTGTGATTGTGGCTTCTTGTTTGATGTTTGGATTTTGGACCATGCTTTGTTGAGTATTGGCTATTGGTACTAGGTTTGATATACGGAAGTACATTAGGTATAGTACAACGAGGTACGCCTTTGTCTTTATCACTAGTAGTAGTTTGGGATCAAATACTTGATGTTAGTTGTATTACGATAACGGAAGTTAGGGCGTGGCATGGCCCTCTGGCGCTCCGGGGTTGGATCTCGTTATTAGCATTTCCATTTTATCTCTTATTGTTTGTGGCTTGTTTTATATTACTGTATGCATGTATTGTTATATGTTGTAAATAAATATTTGATGTTGTAAACCGTGTTGATTTTATCCGATTGTTATCCTTGTAAATACCCTCTGTCCTTTGTTCTTTTTGCTCAGCTATATTTTCAGTACCATCATTACCCCCTATCAAGGTCGCATTACAATTACATTAAACACCATGTTTTTACAGATTGTTTTCAATAATTAGAGTTTAAAGAGAAAAACATTGTTGAATTCATGACACCATATCGATACCAATCCGTTCGATCCTTATATCACATATTTTTTCTCTAAGTTTATTGCTTTGTGTTGTATTTCTGTTTACCACCAATGAAGGTGAGCAATATATCCCGCATGTATATACGATCGTAATCAACGCATGTAATTATGGAAGGCAGATCAAGGAAACCATCCTTGAAGAATACTTGCTATCTTAGGTGCACTCACACATGGTTATAAAAGTAGTGCCCTAAAACCGTGATCAAATCTGGGACCCTTTGCGTAATTGGAACATACGCTACCGCTGAGCTATACAGGTGGACACCAACTTGTTCATGGGGAAATGTTTCTTTCGGTCGCCAAGTAAAATGAACGACAGGATTAGATTAATGTTTCAAAGTGATCGTTCTTGCAAGCAATAGTGACATTTAGGATGGAAATGTATTTATTTATCTCATATCACATCAAGTGTAGCCATTTGTATGCGATTCATTTATTTCAATGGATTTCCTTACCAAAAACCAGTTAGATTGAAAGAACTTCCAACACGGCTATCAAATTCGAGATGGCAATTAAACAGTCATATAATATAAAAATGTATCTTCTATTACTCTAAGATTGTATAAAATAAAATGACTGTCAGGAAAGAAAAAGCATTGATTAAGCTTAAATTGCCCTCGAACCCAACACACAAATGTTTATGTTTACGCACCTGCTGTTATTTTATTTGGTTCAGGGGTGGCTTCTGGCACATCTTCATCACCATCCTCCCCCGCTTCAGAGTCTGCAGCATCACCACCAGTGTTACCTCCATTGGGATCCTTGCAAGGTACGTTCGCCTTATGGTCACAGACTCTAGCATCATTGTTAAATCTTGTACCAGATGGACAAGGCATGGATACGTACTTTTCATGTCGACACATCAAGTACTTTGTGCAATCAACCGGGTCTCTGTACATATCACCCGCCTTACAAGGTCCACCTAGAAAGGAAGGAGGGATGTGTTCATCGCTCATTCACTCATGTTTACAAGAAGAGTGCATCTCACCATTACATTTTCAATATTTTGTAGGAATGTACTCGACTTTACTTAGTTTAATTTTGCTCTCAATTTATAAATCACACCGACTAACTTTTTACTTTATTTACAAAGTTCTTAAACATTTTCTCCATAGAATCAAAGCATACACGTTTCCATCTCGTAATATATTTTATGATAACGCGAAAAACAAATACAAAACAAATATGATTGAAAAGCACCATGCACCTTTTTTAATTTACGGAGGGTATGCACTTGTAGAGGGTATGTATATATTATCGGGTGTCCCAAAAAATGGTCACTTTTTGAAAAGTAATTTCTCGGCTACCGAAGAACCAAATTTACTGAAAGTTACTACAAAGTAGCCTAAGAGTATTGTTAGCAAGGTATAGAAATACGAAAAAGATTAGGTAAATGTTATGTAAGAACTAAAAAATTCAAGATGGCATTATAAAAGATCCCATACCAGAGCAACGCAATGAGAACTTCATAACGTTTGTGCACAAAAATGGGAAGACATTTGACAAGTAATTTCTCAGCAATAAATGAGCCAAATTCTGTGAACGCTTTACTTAAGGCACTTTACGGTATCTTCTGCAAGTGTTATGAATATAAAATAGATTGGTTCCATATTATGTGTAAATTTCAGAATTAAAGACAGTATGTCAAAATAACAATTTTCATTGTAAAAGTCACTTGTTAATCAAATTCCAAGCAAAAATATTTGTCCATATTTATTCTAACAATATCAACTCCAATGAATTTTGAGAATGAATGGATTTTGGATATTTTGGAATAATGAAATACATGAATTATCATACACAGACAAGCAATTTTGACTGATTGACAGATGCTATCACCTGATAGCTGGTACAAGCACTATAGAGGTCTCATCACAGAGCTCCGATATTGGGATTTTTGACATGCTATTTTGAATTTCTTACTACTCACAGAATATTTATTTGATATTTTAAAATATTTTTTCAACTTGCTAATGATACTCTAAGGCTACTTTGTACAAATTGTCAGTGAATTTGGTTCATCAGTTGCCCAGAAAATACTTGTCAAAAGTGTCTCATTTAGCAAATGTCGATGGTTGTCAAATTGGTGTAGATAGGAGTACTTTAATTTGAATACAAAATATCATCAACGATTTACCTGCTTTAACAATAGGTTGTTCGTCATTATAATTATTGTCGATTTCTGTTTCATCTTGGTCTGGACTCTCTTGTGTAGTTGTTTTCAGCTTGCCCGAGCTTTCTGTTGATGGTAATGTTGTTGTTTTAACGTTGCCTTCTGTTTCAAAATTGTCCGAATCTTGCTCAGTTTGTACCGTTGTTTTTTTTACATTGCCACCTGTATCAACATAGTCTGAGTCCTGTTCAGTTTGTACCGTTGTTGTTTTCACGTTATCTTCTGTATCAACATAGTCCGAGTCCTGTTCAGTTTGTACCGTTGTTGTTTTCACATTGTTACCTGTATCAACATAGTCTGAGTCTTGCTCAGTTTGTACTGTTGTTGTTTTCACATTGTCACTTGGATCAACATAGTCTGAGTCTTGCTCAGTTTGTACCGTTGTTTTTTTCACATTGTCACTTGGATCAACATAGTCTGAGTCTTGCTCAGTTTGTACCGTTGTTGTTTTCACGTTGTCTTCTGTATCAACAGGGTCTGAGTTCTGATTTGTCTTTGCCGTAGTTGTTTCCACGTTCCAATCTGTATCACTAACTACCGAGTTTTCATTTGATGGTGTTCTTGTTGTTTTCACGTTGTCTTCTCTCTCAACATTATCTGAGCTCCGTTCTGTTTCTTCCGTTGTTTTTGTCACGTCGTAATCTGAATGACCATGGCCATGGTCTGAGTCATGTTCTGTTTGAAGCGTTGTTGTTTTTACTTTGTCTTCTGTAGCAATGATATCAGAGCTCTGTTTTGTTTGTACCGTTGTTGTTTTCATATTGTCATCTGTATCAACATCTGAGTTCTCATCTGCGTGTACTGTTGTTTTCACACAAATACAAAACAAAAATCAATATACTCAATCAGAGAGGAATCTGACGTGTACAAAGTTACATAGTACATGATAATTCCAATATACAAACCTCCTTAGGTATAACTTCTATGTATAAAAAGTGATTCAAGAATGCATCGATCTACTTTTAGATCAACTTTCTAAATTATAAGGAAATCGTTGTGATTTTTTATGTGTAGATAGAGTTTTCCATGCGAAATACAGGGTGTCCAAAAACACAGGATCGTAAGAAAGTTGCATTACTCGGTTAATTTTGTATATTTTGCTTTGAGGTTTTGGAATCATTTACTTCATTCGATGTGAATTTTTTTCTGAAAGTTTGATGATAATCTGTGTATTGTGGCAAAAACTACAGTAATTTACAAAACATGCTCAAATTGGGCACTTCTCCTCTCTATGCACAAACGAATCCTGCGAACAAAGTTGTGAATGACCCTGACCTATATACATTAATGTGTATGGTAAATATTGGGGTAGTTATTGCCCTCTTAAGATTGTTTGGGGCCTGTCAGTATACACATTGGCTTTGGGAAATCCTCAAAATAAAAATTTGGGGGATTTAGATCTGGCGAATGAGCTGCCCATATGGTTTGTGTTCTGTAACTGATGAGCTGACCACCAAAGCATTGCCTAAACCATTTCAGCATATCATTTGCAGTGTTGGGGTGGTATTGGCTTGTTGAAACCACTGCTTATCTCCTTAGATGTCCCTTCTGGTGCTTAGTGACCTCCTAAAACTTAGTGAGAACTTACTGGTCCTTGTTCATGGTGATAGCTCTTCCATCCCCAGTCACCTTCGAACCAAAAAGTACTGATGATTCCATGTTTCCTCGTTGCCACCCAGGCAGTGCATTGTTAAAAATGCAATGGATGCTGTAACACTTCATCAGGAGGATGTTAGCCCCAGTAGCAATTGTTCTTGGAACAAACTTGTCCATTCAGAAAGACATGTGTGTAGGAGGATCATCAACAACCATGCCGGATTGAATTGTGCATAGAGAGAAATGCACATTTGGGGCATGTTTTATCAGGAGCTTTAGTTTTTGACTCAATAAGTTTCACAACTAAATTCACATTGAATGAACGAAATAATTCTGATATTTCAAGGCAAAATATGAAAAATTGGCCAAGTTATACAACTTTCTTACGGTCCTATTGTTTTTGGACACCCTGTATATGGTGTACCCTACTAACATTCACAAAGGATCTAGTATGCCCTCCATCATGATCTCCCCATGAACAAAAACGAATTCATCTGATTTTTCAAAATAAATACCATTTGTACACTAGTATCTTGTTGACCTATATTCACCACTGTATTGATGAATGGGCCACTAACCCTCCTATCACACCAAACTTGTTCTTACCCGTTCTTGCAAGTCCTACGAAAACGTCGTAAAACGGGCTCAATCTGGCTGTGGTCGAGAAATATGTCTAAAATAATTAGCTACTTCGTTCATAAACAGTCTTCAATACTTCAATCTCATTCGCAGTTCGTTCAGGTCGCACCACGTCGGTGTGCAACGTCGTATAACGCGTCCCTCAGTCTAGAAGGTCATCATGACCTGATTACAGAACGGTGTGGTCGCCATCGAATTTTGAATCGATTCAAAATTCTAAATCACATTCCCCGTTCGGAAAAGTCCATGAAGTTCATAAACAGACCGTAGAACGTTGTAGCTACATTCATTCAGTTCGCACATAGTTTAAAACCGATTCGGCAACGTTTTGAAGAACGCAGTGCCAACTGGTTCTGGTGTGATAGCTATTTTTGTTAATTCGTTCATAAGAAGTTTTTAATACGTTCATCTCGTCTTTTATCATTCCGTCTGCATTACGTTGGTATCAAGTTTAGATCGGGTTAAATTGTGCGTTCGTCTCGTCTGCACAACGTATCCAAGCAGTTCAATTACGTCCTTAATAAGCTGTTTAAACCAGTTGACAATTAGTTGTACCTTGTTCTCAATACGTCCTTTTATGTTACTGAATTATCCACCAAATTGTCATACGGTTGAACTCGTCCCTATTCCGTGCAGAACGCATTTATATTCCCCTATTTTCCTTATTCGGGTACTCACGGCTGAAAATTTACGCCTGACTACACAACGTCGTAATACGTCCCTACTAGGATTGCAGTACGACACTTCCGTTCGTAGTGTGTTCCCAGTGCGTCCAGGTCGTCCTTAAGTACATTGTCACTCGTTCTGATTGCAGAACGTGACGATTACCAGAAAAATTTGAGCATGCTCTAAGTTCTGGAGGACATACTCGTTCGAGTAGTTTCATGAAGTTTGTAAACAGATCCCAAACGGTTCTTAGTGGGTTCTTAGTACGTCAAATCCGTTCGTGTATAGTTTAAGCCCGTTTTCGAGAACATGGTGAGAACTAGTTTGGTGTGATAGTAGGGTTATTAGGGCCAATATTCAATCGTAAAGTGTACAGGGGTAGAGATGCCAAACCAGGAAGTATTTTTGTGTCTGTCAAAATCTATTTGCATCCTACACATCCTTACATCTTATCCAAATATGCTATTAATTAATGAAACATAACAGTATAATCTTTGGAGTTACAAAGTTGTATGGTATTTCATAAGTGTAAAAGTTGCTTTTGAAGCATTTTTCTATAGCCATTTTGTATGGAAAAAATGATGAAAAAATGTATAATTTTTTATTTTGAAGTATGACCTGAATCGATTGCAAACATTATATTTGCACATCTGATGTGATATACTATTTGTGTCATATTGTGAAAATATTTGATTTGCAATCGTTTCAGGTCAAAGTGTATTTAGGTATTTTTGTGAAAATCAATATAAACCAATGACCTCCATTGGAATCTGATGATATCCACATGTTAAGTCAATGGAACACATTCAATGTCAAGTAAATACATCCTTGCTAAACTTAATGACCTCAACCTAAGGCCATGTGGGTCCAAACGCTTAAATATTTTCCAAAGTATTATTTGACATTGTATTCTTCATGTTACACCTAAAAATGATTCATTTTGTTCATGGGGAAATCATAATTGAGAGTGCACTAGATCCTTTCTTCATTGAGCTGATTCCATCATAAATGAGAATTTCAAAAATTAGAGGGTTGCGTTTTGTGCAACCCTGAATTGTACATGTTGCAGAAATAAACCGAGGTTGTATACATACCACACAAATACGGGACCTCACTCTGCTCATACCCATCAGAACATCTAGAAGCTAAGCGTCTTGATGAGAAAGTTTGCGCGTTCAAAACTACCGCCAATGTTTCATCTATCACCAACAGAATAGTCCCCTTTGAGGACACGCTAGCTATATCTAGCAACGCATCAGTGATGGTCTGTTTTAGATCGGTATGTTTCTCTTCGGGTGATTTAGAATCGTCATCAGTGGCAACTTGTCCGATGATAACTCCACTCAACTGGCCCACTTCAGGTGATAGTCGTGTTACTGTAAGATCATCGGCGATCACGGATGTCGCGGTAACCAATTCTTCAAGAGCAGTTAATATATTTTCGGTAAATGTTTTGGAGGAGTTAAACATGGTAACAGGCACAGACATGTTGTTTGTTTGATTTGAGGTTGTTATATTTGAATATTCTACGGAGAAGAATGCAGCCGGGGCAGATACTTCGGTTTTCCTGACCTCAATAGTGAATTTTTCAGATTCAACTGAACCTGCCGTGTTATTGACACGACACCAGTAAGTTCCTGAATCAGAGATCCCTGGGTTTGAAATTAAAAAGACGGTCCCGCTGTGCAGAATCTTGAAATCACCGGATGATACGTCAGTTTTGAACCACGTGATATCAGGTTGCGGGTTTCCGGTAGCATTACACATGAATGTCACTCCTGGCTGAAGTCCCTCGAGAACGACAACAGATGTTGGCCTTTCAACGAGAATTGGTTGTTCCAGGACCATAACATATGCATCATGAGAAGTGATGTTAACAATGTGATTCCCTGCAATACAGGAATACGACCCCTCATCGTCACTGTTTATTGCCTCGATAACAAAACTAGATCCAGTTTCACCCGGGAGTAAAACATCGTTAAGGAACCATTGATACGAAAGGGGAACATCAGAAATCGCCTCACACTCCAAGGAAAGCCTTTCTGAATGAAGAAGATTTGTATTTTTCGGGTGTTTTATTATCTCCGGTGGTTTTGCACAGAATATTTTGGCGTCATTTGCTTGTTTTAATAAAGTTAGAATGTCTCCACTGAGTTCCAATGCCTCGTCGATGGTCGCATTTGCCTCTTCGTCTAATAGCTCGAGAAATTTTAATTCAATATCTGGTAAGAGGTCTCTGATCACAGAAGCACCATTAACATTTACACCTTCATACATTTCATACAGTCGTCCAAGTGTAACAAGCATACAGTCTTTCAATCCAGTACAATAATCCTCTGGCCAGTACTCGTTAGTCTCATTCTCTACAACTGCTCGCCATTGTGTTATGAATGGAATGTTGAAAGCCTCTGTAAACTCCTTCATCGTTTAATCAATGTGTATATTGGGTGTGTCGCGTATATCGTTGAAGATAGGGTCTTCGTTCGTTGTTTGATTCACTACAATTTCGTTCATTTGTTCAACTGTCAGGTTGTATTCGTTGTATGCTTCTGTGACATTGACGCCAAGTTCATCAAGTGATTTTCCTTGTAGAGCATCTGTATCTCCTATCGGAATGTTTCGTATCGTGTCAAATATTGTACTTGAGTTCTCTCTGTTCTCTTTTGCAGCAGATGTAGCTTCATTCAATGTCAACGCAACATTTCCAAGGAATTCGTCAATCGGCTTAAACTCATTGCATTTAGCACGAAAGTAGGTAGTGCGCGCTTCGAATGCTGTCGAATTTGAATCAGTGTTCTCAAAACCAGGAATGTCCGTCGTTAAATCGATGGTATGATTGTTAAATATTGGTTCAAGTTCCTCAAATGTACCATTCTTGGAAAAATCACCAAACTCTGGATCTCCAGGGAAAATTGTTTCCTTGGCATCAACCGAACGAAGATGCCTGTAAAGTTTGTGGACGTTGGCCATTTGCTGAAACGTCACTTCTCTCTTCCTACGCATGCCCAATAATCCTCCGACAACACTGAATATACGCTTGACTAACTCTATAGCTGCGTCAATCAAACTTAGCAGGATATTCTTGAAATTTATTTTGATTCCAACACGACTCCAACCCAATTTGAACAAGTTAACATCGCATTGGATGTCAAATATGAAGATATCAACATCGTTTATTTCAACCGTAAATCCACATTGTTTTATGTCTATCAGACTCTTGAGGCCATACTCTATCACAAGATTAGCTATATATACCGCTGCACGTAAAGCATACCTGAGAGCCTCCAAAGCGCCCTCTGCAATTCTTAACGGAATTTTAGCTGCTTCTAACACAATATTAGCCATATCTATAGCGACTTTCGCAACATCCAATACGTACTTGGCCTTATCTACCACCCATTGTGCCGCTCTAAGAGCAAGTTTAGCTGCATCAAATGCAACAATCAGGACACCAACGAAGATTTTTGCGGTCTCTAACGCAAGATAGGCAGCTGCTCTAATAGCATAACAGAGACCATTCATGGCGTAACACGGGAGGTTTGGTAGCTGGAATACAGACACGTGTGACAGTATGTCTCCTTTTGTGGTTATAGAAATATTTATTTCAAAATTCGAAAAACTTAATTCACTTATATTATAAGATTGCGTTAAAAATAAATCTATACACTACCTCTATCGCGCAACTGTCCCAGTTGCAACAAGGGTATGGAATATTTACCCAACCGCCTGTCCAGCATGTCCTACATTTTAAACCTGGTAAACATATTGGTTTGCAGTCTTCGATACGACACAATCGATCTACAACCTAGATGAGGCAGTATAATTTTACACTCATAAACACATAAAATGCAATGTGGTTTAGATAAATCAACACTTAGGCTAAAGAAATTAAGTTTGACACTAATGCAAGAGTATATTTTTAAAAAGACAATCGTGCATCACTACGGAGAGTGATGTAATATCACAAATCAATTCTTATTACAGAATATAAAATACAGGCATCACTGGAACAATGATCACGATGAGGGTGAATTAGGTTGAAAGATAAAATATATACAGGGTGTCAAATAAGTCCCGTCCCCCTCTCTACAGCCAAAACCAAGATATTTGCCACCAAAGTGTGATATATCATTGGAAAGGTCTTCCAAAGTTACGTTGATTGGCATATATCTGACACGTCAATCAATCTCACAAATTTTTACATTGTATCAATTGAGGTGACCATATGCCTAGAAACATGGCAATTTGGTGTATTTGGCAGGATTTTAAGAATCGGGTATAAGAAAGGTCAAGGGACCAAAAGATGACTAAATATGTTTATGGCCATGAATTAAACCAATTTCTGGATAGGGTTAGATGTGTAGAAAATAGAGGTGCAAGGAAAGTGGTGAAAACCTTTTTGTAACAAGTGGAATGCGAAAAAGATTAACTTTTTGACGTATTTCTGAGGTCATATCCTTGTCATTTTGACGCAAAAAAGCTACTTAAAGGAGGGCACGTTGATTACAAAAGACATCATAAAAATATAGGTAAATTTCATCCAAAATACTTGAGCGTTGGTGAGTTAACATAACTTTGGATGATCTTTCCAATGGTATATCACACTAGGTACCATCTGTTAAGCTTTTAGCTGTAGCAGGGGGGACGGGACCTATTTGACACCCTGTATATCAGACCTTTTGTGCATTATTGAGTTTTTCCATGGCATCATAAAATCCCTGCTTCTTGCTCTCAACGGCATTTTCAGCATCTCTTAATTTCCCAACTACCCAGTCAAAGTGGGACTTGGCGTCATCAAATACAGCCTTCTTGGAACTTAGCCAGTTTTGGGCTTTTGTGATTCCTTGTCGAGCCTTCTGTAGAGCCGCCTTGGCTTGATCGATCCTAGTCTCAGCGGACCCAAGAGCTCCTTTCGTTGCGTTCAAGATTGCATCGGCAAAAGTGCCTGTTAATCAGGTTTCAAAAACATTTTGCAGTTTATGCATTACGTATCATGTATACTGTTAGTTTGCCATACCAGATTTCATATCTTTGAATTGGCATCACGCTTCTACATTTAAATTACCTCCCCTTTTCTTGAACATCCTTAGATAATGCATGAGAAGATATTGATGATCTATGAAGTCAGTCCTACCTTCAAATGAGTCATCCCTTCCAGGTAAAAGATACACCGACACTCTATATCTCAGCTTATGCCATTCAGTAAAGACCTTCGCCTCTATTTCTAGTCTTGCTCTGAATAAACTCCACACCAAGGCCTCCACGTTGCACACCAAGCCTTCTCTTGTAATAAATACATCACCTTCTATGTTCATTCCCAGGAAAGAGAATTTACCCAAAAAATGGACGACAGTTTTTGACAAATCAGATGAACTGAACGCAACTTCTAATCCCGCACCTTCAATGGTTAAGAATTTAAGCTTTATTGGGATATTAATCGCTAAAAGTCCTCTTAATGCCTTTTCGCCTTCTAACAGCTTATACATCTTGGCAAATTCACTACACTGCGCTAATTTCCCATCAGAGTAAACCAATTCAATTTCCAATGCATTGGGTAGCATCAGTGAAAATAAATTAAAATCTACTGTAAACCTTAGCCCAAAACCATTATACTCAGTGGCAACGCCTATTATTTCCGACACCATTCGATTGGTGAGACTTTCTATATTTCTTTCTATTCGGTAGACATTCCTGTTAACAAAGTCCGTGAAGTTAGACTTAATGGCCTTGATGTTGAATGAAATTTCTTCTTTGAAATCTCCCCAAACTGTTTTTAACCTTGAGACCATTTCAATAAGGGGTCGAATAAGGTCTGGAATCTGATGAAACCCTACACCACGTTTGTCTTCTCGTATTTCATCGATCATATCCTTGAGCTGGCGAATAGCTGTCTCGACAGCAGCCAGTGCACCGTGATCGGATTCTTCTATAGTGTTTCTAAATCGTTCAATATTTTCAACTAAGAATTGCACAGCTTCCTGGACTACTTTATCAATTTCAACCAAGTCATTAACAATACTATATGTAGGGATTTCACTGATTTCAGCCGACTTGTCGTAAGTCAGGTAGCCATAGGCCATGGTATCAGTGTGAATCATCAGGTCCTCCAAGAGTGGAATTCCATGAAATGGAGACACGGTTAGGTAAAACGAGGCAAAAATACCAGGGGGGTTCGCACCAGGACCACAGTAGCGCCTTTCGTCCAAACCTGGAGAACATTTGTTAATGAATGATGCCATAGATTATCTTAATATGTACGTGTGTTTTTGCGTAATATCGACGCCACCACCTATGGAGCATCGACGCTCATTATTTACCATAACACAATCAATCAAAGAACACGCCTCTTTTTAAATCAAACATGCGAATCACGTTGAGCCTAGTATGGTCTCGTAGTAAATCATTGTCGCCTTTACATACCTCCGATGTCTGCAAAGATATGACTTGACGCCAATGCCGTGTTAGGAAAATCAAGTTGGTGATTCTTCCCAAATAGAGGGAACCTTAGAACCATATCCATGCGACTCCATATGTCGATCAATATTTCCCATCTATCTAGGAACACATGCGTCAGTATCTGCGTGATTGTCAATAAAAATAAATAAATGCAAATAAGAATTGGTGCACTGTTTACTATTTACTGCTTGTTGTTTACTAATTATTCGTGCTTATTATTAGTCAGATATAGTTCTAAATACACTTTCACTTACATTTGATGGATTTGGAAGAGACATGAATGACTCGGCGTCTGCATAAAACTCAAGCTCAAAATTCCTACTGTTCATAATCCCCACGACATAAGCCATCTCCCCCATCATCCAAAAATGAGTGTTTTGAAAAACCCTAAAACAAGAAAATATATTTTTGTGTTATAATAAAAATGGAACATTTGTTAACGTCCGCGGAAAAAAATGCTTCTCTTCTAAAATAAACCACAATTTAGCAAAGTTCCGTCAATTGTTTATTCCCTGTAATGTAATAAGTGTATCATTTCCAATCTAGTGTCAGTACAAAAACTAGTATACAATTGTAGACCTCTTTTGGGGTCCCCTGGCAAAATTGTACACCAATACTGTAAAACTTGAAAGCCCTGTTGACCATGTTTCATGGGAGATTCCATGTTTTGCGCTAACCCAAATCTAAAATATTGTTGAATAAGAATACATTTTAAATAATTGTTTCGGAGTATTTTATTTACCTTTTATTCTGTTTTCAATATATAAAATAATAGTGAATTACAGTTCGCAACATGAAAAAATTAACATACTGTAAATTGAAAAAATATCCAAATCCGAGGCCTGCTAATCCTGGAGAATAGGGATCTTAGATCATTAATTCATTGACATATACAGGGTGGGCCAAAAAACGCCACTTTTTTTCAAAATGCTCTAACTTTTTTAATTTTTGATCCAAAATCATGATTTGCATACCAAATGAAACTTGAAGATGCAATATATCCATGGATGATTATGAATTGTACACCTTTACTTGAATAAAATATGTCACCAGCGTCTCACTTAAACATGTGGTGTGACATGAGAAATGAACAGAATTTGCATAATGTGTACCTGAACTGAGACATCCTGATGACCACCAAACTAACTACACTAAGTCCTGATGTAAACCCCAGTGAGTATAGGGTATTGGAAGGTCTCCAGGAGATGGTGTAAAGGTACCCAATCTCAAAAATTGCTCAACTAAAGCTGACAATTAAAACTGGTTGAAAGAAACTTAATCAACATTTCATTGACACTGCTATATTAGCATGGCGACTAAGACTCCAGGCTGTCATCAAATAGGATGGCGGACCAATTGATGAACACCTCTTTTACATCAAATACAATTTAAGTTGAATGACTTGTTGCATTATTTTTATGCACAGCTACAGTTGATGAATTTCCGTAAAGAATTGTTTTTCAACTTTCAACTGGAAATACTTCTATTACTATATAAAATTATTTGGTATTTAACTTTAATCTGTACCATTTGAATTCAAATCAATTCCTATATATGCACAATGTCGACTTACTGGTAGTTAAATATCTCATCCCCATTCCATAACTGCAGTGAGTTCTTTGAATTGTGCACATTCAAACCATTTGTTGCAGAAAATCCCAAACCCCTCACACATACATCTAAGTCTCCCAGGATATCAGCAGTCATTGGGATCTTTTTCAATATCCGACAGGCTGAACTATCAGTGCTCTGTCGCCGCTTCCGGTTGTTCGGTAACGATTTGGCGATAGATGGCGGGAATGTTAACATGATGGTGCCCCCTAAATCGTTAAATATGTCAACGATGAGACAAACATCTTCACCATCAACAACAGGAATATTGATCATTTGTCCGAATATACTTAGAGTCGTATCAGTGTTGAACTTGAACACTGAGTAGAGTCGATCAGGGAACACCGGGGCGACATCACAGACAGGGATACCCTTGACCACATCTCCTGTTGTGACCCACGAATGTAATTTGTTAGATAACAAAATCTCAGTACCAGTTGGTAGTGCGTTTACAAAACTCGGTAGGAGGGCACTTGCACTCTTGAGATATGTATTCAAGAATGCATTGTTTGCAATATAGTCAGCGATTTCAGCAACAGTCATGTCCTGGACACATGCCGGGTCACGTGTTGAGTCAATCACAGTACCATCAAATGGGTGAATACCTTGAGTCAGAATACTCATCTCGAATGTGCCGGATTTCTGCTTAACTTTCATCCCTGATAAGGATACTGGCAGAGATAACTTGTTCACTTCAGCAAATACAATTCCAAGAGTGAAGGAGATGGACGGGTCCATGTTTAAAGTAAGCCAATCTGATGTTGAAGAGAGGCGGACATCTACATTCAAGATGGGTCCAGTCAAACGAATCACGTGGCAGCCTTTTGGCAATACACGACCAGGTACGGATATGCTGCCTAGTGAATCTACTTCACAAAATTCGCCATCAAAACCAGTTCCTAAATAACACATTTAGTACATGTCCATGTATATCTAATAAACATAATTGGATTTAATGATTTTGGGTCCTTACGTTCTAATTTTCATTATGAATTTTGAAATTTAGATTTTTGTTAAGTATTAGGCTGAGGTACTTATGATGTTTTACCTTATCTATAGGGCCGGATGCGTTCTATTAGGTGGTCTGTTTCCTTTTAAAAATTAGTTCATGACATTTGGTGCAATTGAAGTTGAGTATCGTGCTCCTTAAGAAACCCTAATTACATTTCATAAATTTAGATTATTTGATTTTAGGTGAGTCATCAGTCTGCTGTTTACTATTTTTGAAGGACATATTTTAGAGATGATGTCATTCAGCTGTTATACTGTTCAACAATCATTTTGGAGAACTTTCAAATTCTGACATAAGTGCTTGGGCCCACTTATTTCTTGGGGATATTTTAAAACAAAAGTAAGTTGGAACAGGTTGGTCTTACCCAATTATTATACGTTGTTATGTACTGTTAGTATTTTGGGGTCATACATTGCGGAATTGCAAAAACGTTTACCGAGAAGTTGTTTTATTATCGGCAAATATAATTTTGGAACATGAACACTTGTGCATATGGACGAATTTAGGACAATTGATATATTCAGATTATGCTATTCTTCTATGTGTGTTGATACCAATGACAAAATAATGTGTTTCGTTTTGTTGCCAAAACAAGGGGTAATCATGACCATGATGAATGCAAAGAAAATATTGCTTACATATACCTTTTCTTAAAAATAGACAAAAATCAAAATTTGCTAATATATCATTGCAAACTCACATAATAACAAAAATAACATAATGTATCAAGTCCGTCGATCATTTCAAATGTTTTAATAAATCGTGTTTGCAACAAGCTCCCAAAAGAAGGTTGTTTGATATTACTCACTCATAATATATTGCATGGTCATGATAACAAGAATTGTGTTGTCATCAAAATAGCACACATTGAGGGCGTGTTTTCTTATATCTTTAAAAAGAGTATGCTAACACCACTGTCATTTGAATCGGTCTAAAATCTATTTTTAATTCACATATCTTAAAGTTACATGTATGTACTACAAATACCTTTACAATCACAATAGAAGTCACCATCTGCAGTAGTTTCGCACTTCCCGTCATTGAGACACGGTGTTGGAATGCACTTATCTTAAAATAGATTAACATATTGCAAGTCAGTTATTTTAACAGTCCGTCCGTTTAGTTATATTTTTGAGCATTACAACACATTGAGAAAATGAACTGTTATAAAGACTTTATGGTACAAATGAGGTGAAAATCTATTTAAAACTAGACATGTAAATTGAACAAGTTCAATTTAAGACTCCAGATTTAATACTTTTTTTAAGCTGAGTCATCCAAATACTTGTAAGCTGAGTCATTCAGAATAAGCTGAGTCAGCTAGAATATAGACATTTAGACAACTCTTAAGAATGTTATCTTCGACTCCATTGGCTTAACATGGGGATATCATCATATCGACTTTTCGAGACTTCAAACCGCTATAACTATCTAATCAGAAGTTGGATCGAAATTTGGTTTAAAGATTCTGATTCCTGAGAAAATTCTACCTTTAATTCATAACTCATACGTTAAATTTGGAGAACTTTTTATTTTGACCTGCTTTTCAGACACCATATCTCAAAAGTGGGTCAAAATACTTTGTGACGGCAAAAGGCTTACACTATGAGCACACTCTTTGGTACCTGTATACAAAATTTCGAAGCAAATCATTAAAGTGTAATGTCAGAATCGCAAAAATAAGGAAAAACTACGAATTTGACCTACATTTTGACCTAGGCATTTTGGTGTCCAAATTTTAAAGCGAGATAGCCTTCGAGGTCCCCTTCTTTTAAAGGCTTTCAGAATGTTAAGCTGTACTCAGTTTATATCTGGTATTTTACACTTCAAAAAAATCTTTTTTCTCATTGACATAACATGGGGCACCAAATTTAGCGATTTTTGAGATTTCAAAACGCCATAACTTCCGAACCGATAGTCGGATTGAAATTTGGTTTGCAGATTCGGATTTCTGGGAAAATTCTACCCTTAATTCATAGCTCATATGTTAAATTTGGAGAACTTTTTATTTTGACCTACTTTTCGGACACCATATCTCAAAAGTGGGTCAAAATACTTTCTGACGGCAAAAGGCTCACACTATTAACACACTCTTTGCTATCTGTATACAAAATTTTGAAGCAAATTATTCAAGTGTAGTGTCAGAATCGTAAAAATAAGGAAAACTATGAATTTGACCTAGATTTTGACCTAGGCATTTTGGTGTCCAAATTTTGAAGCTATGTAGCTTTTGAGGTCCCTTTCTTTTAAAGGCATTCATTATGTTAAGCTGTACTCAGTCTATATCTTGTATTTTACACTTCGAAAAAGTCTTTTTCCCCATTGACTTAACATGGGCGCCAAATTTAGCGATTTTTGAGATTTCAAAACGCCATAACTTCCGAACCGGAAGTCGGATCGAAATTTTGTTTGCAGATTCGGATTCCTGAGATAATTCTACACTTATTTGATAATTCACACGTTGATTTTGGAGAACTTTTTATGTTCTGACCTACTTTTCGGACGCCATATCTCAAAATCGGTAAGAGTAATCAAAAAAACGGTTTGCCTTTCGGAATTAGCTTTTTTTCTAAGGAACATGATGAAAAAAACCCGGAGCGAAAATACCGAAGGACGACTGAGAAAACTCGTAAAATAGTGAAAACTAACGATTTGACCTAGTTTTTGACCTTTGACCTAGATAAACATTTGACCTAATTTCCCAGAAACTAGGTCTCATTACCCAGTTAACTGTGTTAACAGATTTAAGTAAGTCCTTCTAGTTGCTGAGAAAACTGGTTCGGAATGAAAAATAATAATAATAATAAGAAAACTGGCAAAAGCAATAGACTCCAGATGAAATCTGGAGTCTAATAATACCAAAAAAGTATAGTATCACAATATTGTAAACTGGATTATTTGCTGACAATTCATTCAATCAAAATTTTGTCTAAATACCTTTACAAGTGTGCTTGTCGTCATTTAGCTCGTAACCAGGCTTACAGCTACATATATAGGACCCTATAGTATTAGCGCATAAATAGGTACATCCTCCATTATCCAATGTACATTCATCAATATCTAAAATTTAGTTTTTCAAAATTATTTCCATTAATCTTGAATGCATTTGATTGATATACACGCTGAAAGGTACGTTATCTTACCAGAGCAAGAGTGTTGATCACTTCCTAGACTAAACCCAGATTTGCAAGTGCAGTAAAAAGAACCAAGCGTGTTGGAACAGTTATGGGAACAAACGTTGACATCTGGCAGACATTCATTTATATCTAAAAAATATAATAATAAACAATGGATATCAATGACAAACACCTGTAAAAACTACAAGGGCCTTGAATTTGTACGATCCGTAATCCAATCTGGATGAATCTTCTATTATAAATTTTGAATTATTGATCCTGATAAATATTTGATGAATTGGTACGATCCTAGGATTTATCCCATGATTTATCCCAAGATTGATTAAAATGACCAAATTACATTGAAATTCGGATATATCTTATCTGAAAAGTAATTCACCTATGTAGGTGGATTAAGATTAGGATAAAACTCATCAAAAAGATTGTACGAATTCACAAATGTCAAGATAGATTCCAAGATTAGTCCCACAACGCACCATTAACATGACGAAATTCATCCGGATCGGATCACGGGTCGTACTAATTCACGGCCCCGAGAATTAGCAGATCAAGTGACCACAAACACTTAGGAATAATATTAGATGAACACTTATCTTTTAGGCCTCATATACTAGAAACTATTGATAAATGTAACACAATGTTAAATCCTTTGAAAGCTCTAAAAAACAAAATAAGATCAAAACATTTAGAAAAAATGTATCTGTCATTTATACTCCCCAAAATGAAATATGGAAGTATTTTATTTGAAAAAGCAACAAAATATGACCTTGCTAAACTTGATCAGGTGCATTATACAGCTGCCTTACTAATAAGTGGGTGTATTCAAGGAACCTCAAAAACTAAATTATTTAAATCATTAAATTGGAATGAACTGTCTACTAGAACAGATGAAAAATATTTAAAGTTAATGTACCAGGTTAAAAACAAGACTGTCCCCTCATACCTTCAAAGAATTTTTGACCAGCATAGAAATCCGGTACAAAATGTGAACCTTGACATTTTACTGCCACATTTTACTGCCCCAAAGCCAATTGGCTCTTTTTCCAAATCCCCAATTACTAGAGCAATACGTTTATGGGAAAAGCTCCCAACTGATCAAAAAGAAAGTAAAAGTTTTGCTAGTTTTAGAGAAGTGTCAAAACTCATCTTAAAGATAAAAATTTACCATTACCTACATCTCAGTTAGAACTATAACGAAAGAGTGAAATATTCTTAAATCGTATTAGATGTGATTTTATTTTCTCTGGCCATTTTTTCTTACATAATTTTAGAGATGTAGACAGTCCAAAATGCTTATGTGGCTACAGAGAACAAACTTCAAAACACCTTATCTTCAATTGCCCGCTGTTAGTTAAAGAAAGAGAAGAACTTTGGGGGGAACTTAGGGTGATGCCAGAACTGAACCATTTCTTTTTAATTGGATGCACTTTAGAACAAAAGACCAATACACTTTTGTTTGGAGATAATTTAGTGAATAACAAAATCAAAGGTTGTGTATTTAAGATTTTTACTAACTTTCTCTGTAAAATAATGGAAATTATTTGAATTATCAATTTATAATATTTAATCAGTTGTTTCAACAAAAAGCCATCTGTAATAATTTGTATGTTGTATTCTCACAGGGCCAATAATGCTTTCGCCTAGGCCCTGT